TGCTGGGGTCCAGTGCACTCCTTTGCCTTTAAGAGGGGTGGCTCCCTCAGGTCCACCTGCCCTTGATCTATCCATTAAATGCATGTGCCTCTACTATGGGGACTCACAAATTTTAGAGTTAGGACCACAGATGATCAGGGTGCCGTGTCGTGGCTCTGTGGCTTACGTATGTATTTGCAAATGTGTGCTAACTAAACCCCTGTTATAAACGCATACTGTTAGACAGGTTAATTCGGTTGTTAGCAAGCTGGCTGGCAAGTTGTCCAAGAACATTGTTCTCTCCCCCTTTTTTTCACTATGTGATGCCTGTTTATGTGTCCTTGCTTTATAAGCCAGTTATAGACTTGGGCGGGTGGCCACTTTTATGCAGGCACTATTCCTGCCACTGACACCAATGATGGGGCACTATTCCTGCCACTGATACCAATGATGGGGCACTATTCCTCCCACTGATACCAATGATGGGGCACTATTCCTCCCACTGATACCAATGATGGGGCACTATTCCTCCCACTGATACCAATGATGGGGCACTATTCCTGCCACTGATACCAATGATGGGGCACTATTCCCCCCACTAATACCAATGATGGGGCACTATTCCTGCCACTGATACCAATGATGGGGCACTATTCCTCCCACTGACACCAATGATGGGGCACTATTCCTCCCACTGATACCAATGATGGGACACTATTCCTGCCACTGATACCAATGATGGGGCACTATTCCCCCCACTAATACCAATGATGGGGCACTATTCCTGCCACTGATACCAATGATGGGGCACTATTCCTCCCACTGACACCAATGATGGGGCACTATTCCTCCCACTGACACCAATGATGGGGCACTATTCCTGCCACTGGTGTGCATTGGAAGAGGGGTAGTCTTATACGGCGAGTATAGCTCAAACACTAAAATTTTAGCAGGAAAAGTAGGGGGGTCGTCTTATACGCCGGCAAATACGGTATTTACATTTTTATTAAATTTTTTTATATTATAATTTATGTTTTTTTTCTTAACATACTGCCACCCTAGCAGTACAGTGTCACCATACTACTTGTGGGGGGGTGATGAAGATTTTTGTTTGTTTTTTTTTTTACACTGTTTGCTTTTACACCCATAAAGGCTGTAAAAACAATAATTTCTCCTCTCTGGCTGCATTCTTGCAGCCATTGAGAAATACTGTGTGAGCTGTGATTGGTCACAGCTTGTCACATGGTACAAGGCTGTTGTGAATAGCCCTGTACCATGTGATCTCTGTGATCATTCACAGATTTCACATGTTAAGCAATGATGTCAGAAGTGACATCTTGCTTACTACTCTGCATGTGATCACTGATTGGTCAATCAGTGATCACATGATCGAGACCTCACACAGAAGTCCTGTACAACGATCGGTGTTCCACTGTGATTGGAGGACACAGCGGGCACCGGATCGCGGTGCTGCACGCTCCCAGGGAGCGCGCACAAGCAGGGGGCGGGGAGGCCATTTATAAACGGCCACCCGACCCTGCACTGCCACCGTCCGGCCGTTTATATACAATGACCGGACGGGAGGCGCCGGCGCCAAGAGGTTAATAACAAGCGAGTCTGCACAGGACTGCACGCAAGATTTTCTGACATGATGGATAATCTATACAGCTGGCACCTCCCTTTTCTTCATAAAAAAGGAGTGATCCTTTGTCACGGTTTAGTTAAATCTTTTTTCAGGGGGAAAAGGTTGCAAAAGATCCTGGCACACAACCGATCGGTCACTACGTGTCCGAGTGTGTATTCCCTGATGATCAGAATCCTATGCGTGGCTCACATCTCCGGATAGCCAACCTAATGAGGGCTACACACAGATAAAACCACGCAACAGAACCACGAAAGGACCGAAACCTACGGAATTCACTGGTACCAGAGAGAACATACACATACCATTCAAATAACATCTATTACACAATTAAAATCACAAATGTATAAATTGTTCAGGAAGTATAATCCCAATACATGGAGATAGCGAAACGCACAAATGCTAATCCAGAACGTCTTGTCCTGAAACACCCGAGGGGTTAACGCGCTTCACATATATTGCTTCCATACCGGGCACTTGTACCCCCTTCCTGTCCAGGACAATTTTCAGCTTTCAGAGCTCTCACGCTTTGAATGACAATTGCGCAGTCATGCAACACTGAACCCAAATGTTATAATTTTGTTCACACAACTAGAGCTTTCTTTTGGTGGTATTTTATCACCGCTGGGGTTTTTTATTTTTTTGCTAAATTAACAAAAAAAAGACCAAACATTTAGAAAAAAAAACAAGTTTTTCTTTGTTTCCGTTATAAAATTTTATAAATAAAAAGTGCAGCGCTAAAAAATTAATATAAATTATTGTCCATTAAACAGGATATGTATAAATGAAAATGAAGATAAAATGTTCATAAAGTGACAGTCCGTGCTAAGGTGTCAATCACAATTGTGAGCGGTTTCAATACTCAGTGATGTGCTCAAAAGGTGTGGTAAGAATACGCATTCACCAGATGCGTATTGTACATACGCATGTAATATATGTAATCAGAGGTCCCCTGGTCAATCAGTGATCACATGATCGGGACCTCACAAACGACCACCTGACCCTGCACTGCACCTGTCCGGCCGTTTATAGACATGGGCCGGACGGGAAGTGGTTAAAATCACAAATTTAAAAATTGTTCAGGAAGTATAATCCCAATACATCAAGAGAGCGATACGCAAAAATGCTATTCCAAAACTTCTTGGCCCCAAACACCTGAGAGGTCAACGCGTTTCACATATATTGCTTCTTCAGGACCTTGAATTCTTGGAGACAAAAAAGAATACCCTAAGAAAATACAATAAATTTGTACATCAAATATGCATTTTGCAACAAATTTTCTTAGTCAGGTTATTCCTCTTTGTCCCCAAGAACACAAGGTCCTGAAGAAGCGATATCTGTGAAACGCGTTACCCTCTCCAGTGTTTCGGGTAAGGGAGTTTTAAAAAAGCATTTTTGTATATATCACTATCTTGATATTTTGGGATTATACTTCCTGGACATTTTTTAACTATGTGATTTTAATTACTGTATTTTTTTTGCTCTATAAGACGCACTCCCCCCCCCAAAAAAAAATTGGGGGAATGTCTGTGCGAAAATAGACCAGGACCCCCCCCCCCCCCAGAGTGCGAGTCAGCAGTGCAGCAGCACCTGGCAAAGTCCAAAGCAGCTGCTCTTTAAAGCGGAGTTCCAGCTGCAAAAAAAAAAGTCAGCAGCTACAAAAATAGTACTTTTTAAATACAGCCACTTACCTGTCCCTCGGTCCAGCGGTGTCCTCACCACTGCTGGTTTCAACAGCCGTCTTCTCTCCCCGGCATCTTCAGTGTGGGCACCCGGCTGTGACAGCTTGCGGCTTCACATCTGGGTGCCCACTGCACGTGTGTGATAAGCGCTGCGCTTTGTGAATTGCCTAGGCGATCACAGTGGAAGTGGGAGCAGGTACCTGTCAAATTTGGGCATCCCCCCCCCCCCCCCCCAAAGGTGCCAATCCACTGCAGAGCTGACAGGGTACGCTGAAGACATCGTTGTGAGCCCCGCACTCAGAAAGGATGCTGAGCCCGGCTGGCCAGGTACATTCCCCCCCCCCCATAGACTGCCTGTGCACTGCTATACCAAACTGTATATACCAGTATGTGCATTGCTGAAAGGTCTCTGGCCATCTCCTGTACTGTGTCCGCAGTCTCTGGTCATCTCCTGTACTATGTCCGCAGTCTCTGGTCATCTCCTGTACTATGTCCGCAGTCTCTGGTCATCTCCTGTACTGTGTCCGCAGTCTCTGGTCATCTCCAGTACTATGTCCTGCAGTCTCTGGTCATCTCCTGTACTATGTCTGCAGTCTCTGGTCATCTCCTGTACTATGTCCGCAGTCTCTGGTCATCTCCTGTACTATGTCCTGCAGTCTCTGGTCATCTCCTGTACTATGTCTGCAGTCTCTGGTCATCTCCTGTACTATGTCCGCAGTCTCTGGTCATCTCCTGTACTATGTCCTGCAGTCTCTGGTCATCTCCCAGTACTATGTCCGCAGTCTCTTGGTCATCTCCTGTACTATGTCCGCAGTCTCTGGTCATCTCCTGTACTATGTCCTGCAGTCTCTGGTCATCTCCTGTACTATGTCTGCAGTCTCTGGTCATCTCCTGTACTATGTCTGCAGTCTCTGGTCATCTCCTGTACTGTGTCCGCAGTCTCTTGGTCATCTCCTGTACTATGTGTCCGCAGTCTCTGGTCATCTCCTGTACTGTGTCCGCAGTCTCTGGCTCATCTCCTGTACTGTGTCCTGCAGTCTCTGGTCATCTCCTGTAGTGTGTCTGCAGTCTCTGGTCATCCCTGTACTATGTCCGCAGTTTCTGGTCATCCCCTGTACTGTGTCCGCAGTTTCTGCTCATCCCCTGTACTGTGTCCGCAGTCTCTGGTCATCCCTGTACTATGTCCGCAGTCTCTGGTCATCTCCTGTAGTATGTCCGCAGTCTCTGGTCATCCCCTGTACTGTGTCCGCAGTCTCTGGTCATCTCCTGTACTATGTCCGCAGTCTCTGGTCATCCCCTGTACTATTTCCGCAGTCTCTGGTCATCTCCTGTACCATGTCTGCAGTCTCTGGTCATCTCCTGTACTATATCCGCAGTCTCTGGTCATCTCCTGTACTATGTCCGCAGTCTCTGGTCATCTCCTGTACTATGTCTGCAGTCTCTGGTCATCTCCTGTACTATTTCTGCAGTCTCTGGTCACCCTTGCACTATGTGTCCGCAGTCTCTGGTCATCTCCTGTACTATGTCTGCAGCCTCTGGTCATCCCCTGTACTGTGTCCATAGTCTCTGGTCATCCCCTGTACTATGTCCGCAGTCTCTGGTCATCTCCTGTACTATGTCCGCAGTCTCCGGTCATCTCATGTAACATAACCAAGCATTGTGAAGCAAGCTCACTTCAGAGAATTGTGACTACTTACAAGGAGACCAGAAGAATGGACTTTTCATGGACTTGGAAGGAGAAAAGGAAGAAGGACAAGGCACAGATTACCTGAAAAAAAAAAGAACATAATTAAAGAGATATGAAGGCTCAGCAGTCTGGTGGTATAATGAACGTATGGTCCATTGTTATGGATGGCAAAGAGGAAATCCAGATATGGATGTTTTTACATAGTTACTTTGGCTCAGTATAGACCAGTGTACATTACTGTGCAAAAGTTTTAGGCAGGTGTGAAACAATTTGGTAAATGAAGAAAGCTTTCAGAAACAGAAGTGTTAATAGTTTATTTTTATCAATTAACAAAATGGAAAGTAAGTGAACAGAAGAGAAATGCAAATCGAATCAATATTTGGTGTGACCACCCTTTGCCGCCTTCTAGGTAGACTTGCGCACAGTTTTCGAAGGAACTTGACAGGTAGGTTGTTCCAAACATCTTGGAGAACTAAACACAGATCTTCTGTGGATGTCGGCTTCCTCAAATCCTTCTGTCTCTTCATGTAATCCCAGACAGACTCCATGATGGCGAGATCAGGGCTCTGCGGGGGCCAAACCACCAGTTCCAGGACTCCTTGTTCTTCTTTACACTGAAGATAGTTAATGATGATTAACTATCATCATAACTGACAGTTAATGATATTTGCTGTATTTTTGGGGTGCTTGTCCTGCTGCAGAATAAATTTGGGGCACATCACCCGCTTTACCCTGATGGTATGGCATGATGGATAAGTATCTGCCTGTATTTCTCAGCATTGAGAGGACATCATTGATCCTGAACAAATCTCCAGCTCTGCAATTCTTCCATGGAGATCACTTCTGGCCAGACTTCTCCCGACAGTAGATGTGTGTACTTGGGTCCCACTGGTTTCTGTCAGCTCTGTGCTGATGGCACTGCTGGACATCTTCCGATGTAGAAGGGAAATAAGCATGAAGTGATTTTAATCTGCTGCATTAAATTTCCTTGGCTGACCACTGCATCTACAGTCCACAACGTTTCTTTGTGCTTTTTCAAAAGAGCTTGAACCCCCTCTTGAAACCCCAGTCTGCTTCAGAATATTTGCTTAGGAGAGATCTTGCTGATGCAGTATAACTACCTTGTGTCTTGTTGCTGTGCCAAATCCTGCCATAGTGTATGACCTGTGACATGAAACGGTCTTCCACGAGTATCCACAACGACTCCCAACGTAAATTTTTGAAAATATGGGAGCCGTGGTTGCAATATGCCTTTCCCTCACTCCCCCCCGGCTAGTCTGGGGATGTAATGGCGTTCGGTATTGGTGCTCTTGGACCCCTGCTCTTTGCCCCCCCCTTTTTTTTTTTTCTCCTCTTTCTTCCTTTTTCTCTCTCTCTCTGTTTTTGGTGTGACTGGACAGCTGCATTTAGTTGTTATTGTCAGTTACATTAATGTTTTGTAACTTATGTGCCAATGATAGCCCCTGCGTGGGCGTACCTTTTGCCCTGCTGGCGTTAGAGCACTGTTTTTCCTTTTTTTTTTATTTTGCATTTTGTTTATCTGTGCAATTGATAGCCCCTGCGTGGGCGTGTTTTATTGCCTCTGTTTTATACTGTTTAAAAAATTAATAAAAACCATTGAAATAGAAACGGTCTTCCACAACCTCACGTTAGTAGCAGAGTTTGGTTATTCCTCATCCAGTTCTAAGCCTTTTTCCTGTTTCTGTTTTAGTTAAAGCGGAGTTCCACTCATCCTGTCAAAAAATAAGAGTCAGCAGCTACAAAAACTTAGCTGCTGACTTTTAAAAAAACAGCCCCTTACCTGTCCCTCGGCCCCGCGGTGTGTCCCCCCACAGCCCGTTTCACCGGCCGTCCTGTATTCCAGGAGGCCGGCATCTTCAGTGTGGGCACCCGGCTGTGACAGCTTGCGGCTTCACAGCCGGGTACCCACTGCGCATGTGCAAGTAGCGCTGCACTTCATGAATGGTCCTGTAGTCTTCTGGGACCTGTCACAAGTCCCAAAAGACTACACAGAGGAGGGACACCTTCCGCTTCCGGTCGCCTAGGCGATTGGACCGGAAGTGGGAGCGGGTACCTGTTAAAAAAATAATGTACCTTCAAGGGGTATGCCCATGATGCTCTGCATTCACAGGGAGTGGGTTGTATGACACATAACCTGGTAAAGGACTGGCAGTTCAGATTGAGGAAGATACAGGATCAGGATATGGAGTTGGAGCTACCTTTTTAATACAGAAGGTGTTTGCGTGTGGAAAAATGAGGGGGGGGGGGGCAGTTTTGACAGCTTAAAGCGGAGTTCCACTCACTCTGTCAAAATAGAAAAGTCAGCAGCTACAAAAACTGTAGCTGCTGACTTTTAAAAAAACAGCCACTTACCTGTCCCCTCGGTGTGTCCCCCGTACAGCCCGTTTCACCGGCCGTCCTGTATTCCAGGAGGCCGGCATCTTCAGTGTGGGCACCGGGCTGTGCAGCTTGCGGCTTCACAGCCGGGTACCCACTGCGCATGCACTTCATGAATGGTCCTGTAGTCTTCTGGGACCTGTCACGTGTCCCAAAAGACTACAGGGAAGTAGGACACCTTCCGCTTCCGGTCGCCTAGGCGATCGGACCAGAAGTGGGAGTGGGTACCTGTCAAATTCGGGTACCCGCTCCCCCTCCCACCCCCCAAAGGTGCCAATCCTTAATGGGGAGCGGGGGAGCAGTCCTTAAAGCGGAACTTCCCCTTTTGGGTGGAGCTCCGCTTTAATGACTGTGTTTCAACCTACATATAAAACTGATGATCATTAGCACTGCTGCTCGGTCTAATTGGTTAATTGGTTATTCATACACCTGACTTTAATCCTACAAAAGCACAAACTTTTTGCAAGTGTACAAAATGTATAAGTATAAGAATTGATGCTGGCCTAAAGCCAAAGGATAGTCACACCAAATACTGATTTAGATTTTTCTTCTGTACACTCTTGGTCTACCTGACCTTTGCTTGGTATCAAGAGATCCCCAAACTTTCCACTTCTTAATAGGTGATTTAACAGTACTGATTGGCATATTCAAGGCTTTGGACATCTTTTTATGTCCTTTTCCATCTTTATAAAGTTCCATTACCTTGTTACACAGGACTTTTGACAGTTCTTTTCTGATCCCCATGGCTCAGTATCTAGCCTAGTCAGTGCTTCCACGTAAGAGCTAACAATCTTGTTGACTATTTATACACTGACACTAATTGCAATTTATAAAGCCACAGATGTGGGACATTAACCTCTAATTGGCATTTTATCCCGTGTGTGTCACCTTGTGTGTCTGTACCAAGGCCAAACATTCCAGGGGAGGGAAGCTTCTGATCCGGCCATTTGGGTGATTTCTGTTACCATTATGATTTAAAAAGGAGCCAAACAACTCTTTGATAATAAATGTCTTCATATGATCATCATCCTTCAATAAAAGAGCATTTTTTGGCATGATCAGTCATATTTTCAATATCAATGCCAGAATTTCACAATTTTTCTGCCAGGGGATGCAAACTTTTGAGCACAACTGTATATACTTTTGAAAGCATTCTTACTTTACAGCATTTCTTCACACCTGCCTAAAACTTTTGCACAGTACTGTATTCATGTACAGGCGTACCTCGGTTTCCGAACGCCTCGGTTAGCATAATTTTCAGTTTACGAATGAAAATCCATTGAAAATAATGCCTCGCTTTACACATTTTTTTCGCAATACGAAGCAAGTTTTCCCAGGATGCATTGCACCTGGGAGGTTTATAACGCCGTGCCTTTAAAGTGCACTTTATAAAGAGTTTTGAACAGATAACATACTTTTTTTAAACTTTTTCTGACCTCCGGAACGGATTAATTGATTTTCTATGCATTCCTATGGGAAACCGCGTTTCAGTTTGCAAATTTTTTCGCAATACGAAACGTCCTGGAGAACGCATTAAATTCGTAAACTGAGGTACGCTTGTATATACCATACCTGTGGGATCCCCTGGAAGCTACAAATCACTGTAGTAGGCACTGTTATTACAGTGATCTCCACTAGCTTCAGGGTCCTGTGCTGAATGGCTGCCCTGCTGCATTGTGAACACAGGTGGGCTGCTCGGTATGGGTGCTATTCAGAGGTCGCTTTGCATTTTCTCAATGAATGCAAAGTGTTTTCTGATTGAATGAGGTGGAGAGGCGGAGTGTTGAAATCATAATCTACTTGTCCGATCAGAGAACATATTGCATTTATCGAGAAGCTGCAAAGCGATCTCTGAATGGCGTATGAGGCAAGCGGACGACCCCCTGTGTTCACAATACATCAGAGCAGCTGGTTGGTATGGGACCTGGAAGGTAGCAGAGATGCCTATTACAGCAATTTCTAGCTTTCAGGAGGATCCCACAGGCATGACATATTGTCAGGAATGGACTTGCCAATAATGGTGGGACTCACCTGCCTTGTGGGCTGCAGTACCAGGGCTGGCCAGCGGGTGCTCTCAGCAATCAGAGACTCAACCCTGCAGTCAGCCAAAACACCTGAGGCTGATTACAGGTGTATTTAAGGGATGGCCAGACCTGCAGTCTGTGCCTTGGTGTGTGTTTTTCCATGGGCCCCTGTATCTTGTTACCTGCGTTCCTGTTCCTGTCTGACTGATTTGTTGCCGACCCTGCCTGATCCGGACCTCTGCTGACTTCTCCTGTTTGATCCCTGGCTTGTGACCCCGACCATTCTCTGCCTGACCCCCTGTACCTACCTGCCCGATTATTATTGACCCGGCCTGCCTGACTACGCTTGCATTGTATGTATTGTTATCTGTGGGTGGTTTGGTTTGGTTCGTTTGCACTGTGTTATGTTTTAGTATTGCACTGCGTTTATGTATTGTTAGTATTAATAAATTATATTGTTTATAACATATCTGAAGCCTGCGTTTCCCTGCGTCAGTTCACATACCTCTGGTCATACCCGGAGCCCTGACACATGCATACTTACATAGGTCTAAGCCGGATCAATGTAACCATAAAAAAAAAATATCCATACCAGGAATTCTTCCTTAAAACGGAGCTCCACCCAATAGGGGAAGTTCCTCTTTAAGGACTGCTCCCCCGCTCCCCATTAAGGATTGGCACCTTTGGGGGGCGGGGGGGAGCAGATCCCCGAATTTGACAGGAACCCGCTCCCACTTCCGGTCCAATCGCCTAGGCGATTGGAAGCGGAAGGTGTCCTCCCTCCCTGTAGTCTTCTGGGACACATGACAGGTTCCAGAAGACTACAGGACCATTCATGAAGCGCAGAGCTAATCGCGCATGCGCAGTGGGTACCCGGCTGTGAAGCCGTAAGCTATCACAGCCGGATGCCCACACTGAAGATGCCGGCTTCCTGGAATCCAGGACGGCCGGTGAAACGGGCTGCGGGGGACACACCACGGGAGGGACAGGTAATAAAAGTCAGCAACTACAGTTTTTGTAGCTGCTGACTTTTATAATTTTGACAGGGTGAGTGGAACTCTGCTTTAAGCTGTCAAAAACTCCCCCCCCCTCATTTTTTCCACACACAAACACCTTCTGTATAAAAAGGTAGCTCCAACTCCATATCCTGATCCTGTATCTTCCTCAATCTGAACTGCCAGTCCTCTACCAAGTTCTGTGTCATACAACCCACTCCCTGTGAATGCAGAGCATCATGGGCATACCCCATGAAGGTGCATTATTTTTTTTTTTTTCCAAGCAATTTGTGTTTGGGGGAGTGGGATGGACAATAACTCTTTTATTTCCACGAACGTTCCTCTTTAAAGTGTAAAGGCTGAGGGCTTTTTTTTTACCTTCATGCACAGGTAAAAAACAAACATTCTGTGTGCTACTCCCCCCACAGTCCTGCCTAATACTCACCTGAGGCCCCTCTCAATCCAGCGATGTGCACGGTAGCCATAACTGTCCTGAGTCTCTCTCTCCCTATTGGCTGAGACACAGCAGCAGGTGCCATTGGCTCCTACTGCTGCCAATCGCAGACAGTGAGCCAATGAGGAGAGCGCGTGTCTTATGGACACAGAGCGGGGCTCAGTTGCGAGAATGCACCAGTGCCACCATAGCAAGCAGCTTGCCATTGTGGGCACTGGTCAAGAGGGAGGAGCCAAGAGCACCGGCGGGGGGGCCCGAGGAGAAAAGGATTGGGACTGCTCTGTACAAAACCATTCCACAGAGCAAGTATGACATGTTATTAAAAAAAACCCAAAATGAACCTTTAGAATCACTTTACCTATATGCAGTCTGTTGATATACAAATAAAAATAATAATATAATTGTAAAAAAATGGTAATTTGAACTTACCAAGGAAAGTTTGAATCCCCTGAGAGTGGGGTTCATAGTTAATTTGAGACAAGATGGCAGAGCCCCCAGCAAAGTGCAGGCAAAACTAAAGGACAAAAAACAGTTTGAGTTATTTAGAGGAAATGTACAATCTGTGGTTCATTCTACAGTCAAACTATATTTCCAGCTCCCTGAAAAATGTACAACGTAATGTTGTAAGGCAGGACAGCAAAATAATTCCCCTAAGTATCCGTATGTATGTAGGCTTTTAAATCATTCATTTTGTCAGATCTGATGGTGCTTCTACCCCACACCCCTTTGCATGCATTTTATGAATGGCCATGTGCAGATGGAGGTATAGACACCACACTAGCGTTGGTTTCAGATCAGATACACAACAGTGATAGCAGGGAGGAAAAGGAATTTAGCTAGAGTGGTGCTATCCCCATGGAAAGTAAAAGCAATGTTTTTAAAGAAGACCTCGGTGCAAAATTTTTATTTTCCCATGCAGTGGGGCTGTGCCCAGACTGCATGGGTTAACTGCTCGTTTTGTCCTGGGACGCAAGGAAAAGTTATATTTACCCGATACCTCCTAAAACCGCAACGTCCAGCAATGGACTATTCCTGCCATCCTCACGTCCAGAGCAGGCCTATGGGCGCGATGACGTCAGGAACAGTCCATTCACAAGACTGCTAGCATGGGGGGGTCATTCAAGTGCGGTAGGGAACGAGGGGCAGAGAAATATAAAACTTTTTTTTAACTTAATGCAAGAAAATTAAAGTTAAAAAAAAAAGTTTTTAGCTTTAGTATCACTTTTCGCTTTATGAAGAGCTAAAACATACACATTGTGGCATCTGAGGTATACACAATACAAGCCCTCTAAAATGCAAAGATTATTGTGGCCCTTGATCGGGGCTACAACTATAAAAGCTTGTAAAATATATACAATTCATTTTATAAAAGATCTATTTGAATATGAATTTTTTATATATTATACAAACTTCTCTATTCTATTCTTTTCTACTCTGCTTCTTGCATATTTGGATTTTTGGACCCCCCCCCTCAGCTTTTGGGAGAGTCCTGGTATATCTAAACAGCCTCACCAAAGCAAGTCAGCTTGATTAGGCACAAACAGGGATAAGTGAGCGCTAAAAGTCAGTAAAGCCGCTAAAACACCAAAAGGTACCAAAAAAAACCTTCAAAATGTCAATATAAAATAGGGTGTAGCGCTAAGATAACCATAATCATATGTAGACCATAATAAACATCAATACGACCGTAAAATGACAAGTGACAAGGTGCTAGCAATAATAAAGTGACTTACTGGTACCATAAAATAGTGTCACTCTAAAAAAAAAAATATATATGTACATAAGATGAAGCAAATATATATAAGTGACACCAGTGGTAAAGTGCTGACAAATGAATAAAGTGACTGAGTGGTGATATACTTTGTCACTGTATAGTGACCAATGGTGTATAAAGTGCTAAAAAATCGATGATCAACATATAGTCCAAAATAAGGTGCACAGGAGATTGTGATGATCTTCAATATCTGGTGGTCTTATCCAGTAAGGTGGTGATGTGGCCAAAATTGTAAAGACTGCGCACTCACCAGATGCGCAATCAACGTGCGCATTTAGAGATAACACTCTCAGTGACCTGGAGGTCCCTTTAAGGTGGAAAAGGTCTGGTCTGATGTCCCTCACTGTTCAAACTCCACTGTCAGCAATGGCACAGCCGCTCCAGGCCGCTAAAATGTGACTTTCCCTCCTAAGTCAGCTTGACTAATGAGACTTTTATGACACTGGATACCAATAACATATATAATGCTTATTTTTTGAGTAGTTTATATGGGAAGAAAGCAGTTCTGACACAAACAAAAGCTTGTGTACACAGGTCCTAAAAGAATGAGCACATCGTAGGACTGTGCTTCACTACGAAGCGGCAAGCGCTGCATTTTTTTTCATTTTATATCATAACATTGCCTTTACATGTGCAAGCCGCTTTTATTCTGTTTTATTTCATTTATATATACTTTTTGTGGTTTATCTGAGCGCAAGTTTTGTTATAACAATATGACTGCAACAACAATTTAAGCGCATGGACAGTGAGTGTTTGGCTCCGATGCATGAAGCTCCAGTTTTAAGGTGCAGGCGGAGGGCACAGGTGCTACAGGCAGCTTGTCCGACCCGAAGCGTGCACACTGCCTGCGTTCCAAGTATTCATCTCTGAGAACATAATGCTCTAAAATGTTCATTCCACCAGGCACATGTGCCGCCCCATCCAGCTGCAGCAGCTCTGCAGAGGTGATAGAGGGTGCACCGTGTCCTCCGCCTGCACCTAAACACCAGAACCTCATGCACACAGGCTAAAAGGTCCAGTGGGTATGAGGCCTTAAATGTAATGAGAAAGCAAATAGCAGGCAGGTTATAACGAGGGGAGCTCAAAGGAACCAAAAATGCCTCTACGTAACCAGTGTGAAGCACAGTAAATATTCCTACAAAACAGAGGATATCAGCATCTCCCACTTTCATCGCGGATCCTAAAACAAGGAGATTAGTCCTCATTTTAGGATAATGAGCAAACACATGCAAATTGTTACTTTATGCCCCTGTATCACCTGAGCTGGTCAGTAGCACAGATACAGCCAAATCTGTACAAACAATGGGTGGTTCAGGGATAAAGCTGGTGTAAGATCCTGTTACCAACTTAAAGCGATACTAAAGGAATTTTTTTTTCTTAAGGCGGAGTTCCACCTGGAAAAAAAAAAAGTCAAAAGCTACAAAAACTGTAGTTGATGACAGCCACTTACCTGTCCCTCGGTCCAGCGGTGTCCTCATCACAGCTGGTTTCACCGGCTGTCTTCTCTCCCTGGCCCCGGCATCTTCAGTGTGGGCAACCGGCTGTGACAGCTTGCGGCTTCACAGCCGGGCACACATTGCACATGCGCAAGAAGCACTGCGCTTTGTGAATGGCCCCGTAGTCTTCTGCGACACGTGACAGGTGACTACGGGGAGGGAGGGATGACAACTTCCGCTTCCAATCGCCTAGGCAATTGCAGCAGAAGTGGGAGCGCCTACCTGTCAAATTCGGGTACCCGCTCCCCAAAGGTGCCAATCCTTAATGGGGAGTGGGGGACAAAGGCTTAAAGCGGAACTTCCCCTTTTGGGTGGAGCTCCGCTTTAAATAACAAACATGTTATAATTACCTGCTCTGTGCAATGGTTTTGCATAGAGCAGCCCCAATTCTCCTCTTCTCCGGCACTCTGGGCTCTTCCCTCCCTGCTTAGTGCCCCCCCAAAGCAAGCCGCTGGCTACGGGGGCACTCATACATGCTTGCTACCGAGCCCTGCTCCGTGTGTCCATTGACACACAGAACGGGGCTCAGCCCCTCCCTCACTTGTTGTGATTGACAGCAGGGGGAGCCATCGGCGAAAGGGAGGGAGAGAGATGGGAGAGCAGCTACTCTAGTGCACATCTGAAATAGGCACATCTGAAACAGTGGCTAAATGGTTAGCACTTCCGCCTGGTAGTACTAGGGTCGCTGGTACGAATCCCAACCCTGGCACCACCTGCCTGGAGTTTGCATGTTCTCCTTGTGACTGCGTGGGTTTCCTCCAGGTAGTCCGATTTCCTCCCACACTCCAAAGACATGCTAGTAGGTTAATTGGCTCCTGTCTAAATTGTCCCTAGTATGTGTATGTATGAATGTGAGTTAGGGACCTTAGATTGTACACCCCTTTGGGTTAGGGACTGATGGGAATGTACAATATATATGTAAAGCGCTGTGTAAATTGATGGCGCTATATAAGTACCTGAAATAAATCAAAAATTAAATTAATTCCCCAAGGGGCAAATACACACTGGCAAGATTAACCCCTTTGCGCCGGCCGCACGCAGATGTGCGGCCTCCCGGCGTCTGGGCCTAGACGCCAAGCGGCCGCACATTTGCGTCCATGGAACTAAATACATATGTGCTGAGAGCGCGCGCCCTGCGCGCTCCCCGCACACATGTGTAGTACTCACGGAAAGGTCCCGCTCCGCTCTTTCGAACGGGACCTTTCCCGATCATGTGACCGCCGTGACGCGTCATCACGGCGGTCACATGATTCCTAAACCACGCCCCAGCGCCCCGCCTCCCGACGTCAGAATCTCTTAAAGGGCTGGGAGGCGTCGGCGGGAAGGGGTTAACATTACCTTCCATGGTTTTAAAAAAAAAAATGTTCTCCAGAAAAAAAGCATTAAAGATTGACTTACCTAAATTTCAACTGGGTCTCCGCTGACAACACAGATTTTATTTTAAACAGGATGCTCAGACTGCACCAAACATTGGCCACTTTATCCTGAAGGGGGAAAACAGATATTAAGGGATCAACGAAACAACAAACAATGAATAGAAATTCATTGTCAAATTTGTGCACAGAAATGTAATCCTGTGCAATTATTTATTTATCGCTGACACTTTATGCAACACTTTACATACAGTACATTCACATCGGTCCCTGACCCCAAGGAGCTCAAAACCTAAGGTTCCCATCTCACATACGTACACATACAAGAGCCAATTTAGACAGGGGCCAATTAACCTACCAGGTTGTCTTTGGGTGTGTGGGAGGAAACCCACCGAAGCACATAGAGAACACGCAAACTCCAAGCAGGTTATGTATTTATTTTTTTAATTATATCTTTCATTACAATACATAAAACAGCCATATAACTTTTGTCAGAAGAAAATACATCCATTTTAACCCCATTCCCATCCACCCTAAAGCCTCCCCTCCCGATACAATTACCCCTGTCCAATTGATTCTTACCATCTCTTTCCCCCCCCATTTACCGACCTGTGTCTGCAACCCTATTTGCTAATGCAGGCCATAGACAGTTCGTTTATCGGCTGAATTTTCGGCTGAAAAACGAAAAATCGGTCGTTCTGTTGCCACCAATGATTACAAAAATCGTCCGTTTTTTGTAAATTTTCCACCACGACCGATAAAAGAAATGAGGAGGAATATCAGCTGACGACATTGCCCCACTAACGGTGCGAATATTGGACGAAATTTCGGCTGATAAGTGAACCGTCTATGGCCTGCATAACATCTACTTAACCAGTTTGATTCTCCGACTCTACTGCCAGGGCCCCCCCCCCCACATTTTTAGATATTTTTCTGATTTTTTTAAATTCATACCACTTACTCCATTCTTTTCTAAACTTCTCTATTTTATCCTCCTCCATACGGCTTGGCTCCTCCATCCTTTTTTAATATAATCGACTCTATATATCCAGTCCCTCGTGGTTGGAGGGTCCTGAACCTGCCAAAATGTAGGGATTAAACATTTTTGCTGCACTAATCAGATTATATAATATGCTATTTTTTATATTGTTTCACTTTTTCTATCTTCTAAAAAAAAGACACACACCCACAGATCCTTCTGGATAAATGTCCCCCAAATCTCCTATATATGTAGAATTATATCTTGCCAAAACACTTGCATCCTCGGACAATCCCACCATATATGTGCCATTGTCCCTATTGCCCCACAACCCCTCCTGGTTGAGATTTAGACCATTAGTGCTAACCAATTACTAAGCTGCCCAATTATTTGTTTGTTAGGAGATCCAGTAACTGGCAAAAAAAATGTGTTACATTTCAAAGATTTTTGGTGTGCAAAAACAAATTATTAACTCCCCCCCCCCCCCCCTCCAACCTGCCGGGGATGGACACATAGGATAACATGCCGGGGATGGACACACAGGATAACATGCTGGGGGATGGACACACAGGATAACATGCTGGGGATGGACACATAGGATAACATGCTGGGGATGGACACACAGGATAACATGCCGGGGATGGACACACAGGATAACATGCCGGGGATGGACACGTAGGATAACATGCCGGGGATGGACACACAGGATAACATGCCGGGGATGGACACACAGGATAACATGCTGGGGATGGACACACAGGATAACATGCTGGGGATGGACACGTAGGATAACATGCCGGGGATGGACACGTAGGATAACATGCCGGGGATGGACACGTAGGATAACATGCCGGGGATGGACACGTAGGATAACATGCCGGGGGGGATGGACACACAGGATAACATGCCGGGGATGGACACACAGGATAACATGCCGGGGATGGACACACAGGATAACATGCCGGGGATGGACACACATGGATAGGATAACATGCCGGGGATGGACACGTAGGATAACATGCCGGGGATGGACACGTAGGATAAACATGTCGGGGATGGGACACTGGGTAGGATAACATGCCGGGGATGGACACGTAGGATAACATGCCGGGGGGGATGGACACGTAGGATAACATGCCGGGGATGGACACGTAGGATAACATGCCGGGGATGGACACGTAGGATAACATGCCGGGGGGACACATAGGATAACATGCCGGGGATGGTAGGATAACATGCCGGGGATGGACACGTAGGATAACAAACATGCCGGGGATGGACACAGGATAACATGCCGGGGATGGACACATAGGATAACATGCCGGGGATGGACACATAGGATAACATGCCGGGGATGGACACATAGGATAACATGCGGGGGTTTACTGGCTGTAGAAAAAAACAGCCAAAAGCCAAAAAACAGCCGCTATAAAAACTTCAAGTGTGTCTGAGGACTTAGGAGATATTTACACGTGAAGCAGATGGTGACATTACCATTGAGAGAGCTGTGCCACGGCCGTGACTCCCGGGTGTATGTGTGATGTCATCGCAGCTCGGCCATTCGAGTGGCTGGAGCTGACGAACCCGGAAGGAAGACTGGGTGAAAATGGATTCCCTGTCAGTGTTGACAGGTCACCGCTGAAGGGATCTGTTTCACAGGTAAGTCTGTCATACTGTGCTGGTATGCGGTGCATACTAGTACATCATGACTTTACCTTGCAGGATATAAAACCTTTGTGTGCACTAAATACCTTTGCATCATCACCATGCTGTGCAGTACATAGCCTGTGCAAAAAAGCAGAACTGTGGGAGGGACCCAACAGGCTCCACCCACTACAGGCTGCCTGCCAAAAACTACAGGAAGGGGGGAGGAGACAAGACCAGTCCCCTCTGGACAAGGAGAGAGCATCAGCAAGTGGTCTTTATTTCAGGAAGCTCTGCACAGAGGGAAAGTTGCACATTGGGTTACTGCGCAGATCTGGAAAAAATACACACAGCGCACCAAGATTCAAGAAGATTCATACGTGAAGAATGGATTAAGTTGATTTACTAAAGGTAAACAAACTGTGCACTCTGCAAGTGAAGCTGCTCCAGAGCTTAGTAAATGAGGGTAAGCTTCACTTTACAAAGAATATCCAATCACATGCCAGAAAAAAAAAAAAAAAAAAAAAAAAAAACAGCACAGGAACTCTGCGGGTCTCTACCGGTTTACTGACAGGGCATGCAGCTTTTCTACACATGTTCCAGGGATCCGCCAGGTCCCATAGATCCGGCAAAGTCCACTGCAATATTGCAATATGTCTGCGCATGGATCTCAATTCAAAATGTCAGAACTGGAGAAGAGCAATGTGGGTAGAACTAAGGGCTCCTGTTAGAAACCAAGGGGCCCCATTAAGCAAACCTGAAAGGGCCCCTTCAAAAAAAAACAAAACAAAAACAAAAAAAAGCACACTTTTACTATGCTTCAGTTATGGATGAACACAATGAGTGATCAGTACTGATCACTCATTGCGATCATTCTGGAAAGGAAGGGGCTGGTTCATGTGACATAATTATTGGACCCTTGCCCCGCTCTCCATCCTGAAGGATCTTTATGTCTGCTTGTAGCTGCCGTTGAGAAGGAGAGGAGGAAAGCCAGCACTTTGGGGGCCCAGACAGCTGGGTGAATCAGATGTGCACAGGGAGGGTGATCGGCATGGTGGGCGGGGGACATTTACAGGAACCTGGAGAGGAGAAGAATCCAGCTTTTAGCTGCTGCAGAGAAAGCCATACATGGGATCAGTTTTCAGTAATTGCCCCCTCACCTTGCCGAACACCCTCCCTGTCCACATCCGATTCACCCAGCTACCTGGGCCCCCCTGCTGGCCTGGGCCCTGTACAGGAGAAGTGGTGGTACCCCCTTATCCACGGCCCTGGTAGAACTTTACCTGCAAGCAAGACAACATTGGACCAATAAGTATGTTTTTTTTTTTTTTTTTTTTTCATATATACAGGGGAAAGTATTAGGAATACAAAATTAGATTTTTGATAGTAGGGGGTGCAGGTGTACAATTTTTTTTAATTACGTTTGTATAAATTGTTGTTCGTTTCTTTTCAAAAAAGATTAGCAGGGGAGTGACCTGAGATATACGGCTCTTCTGGCCGCCTTTGCGATACATAGAGCATCGGCACATCAGATGTAGTCCCAGCGCACATGTAGGGGTGGTTATGCTAGGGCTTCAGGGTCCCTGGAAACACCCCAAAGGCTAAAATGTAGGACAGAGAAATTCAATGAAGGGGCATGCAGAAATGTCAACCTGCACAAAGGAAGAACAGCAAGGAAGAAAGTAGAGAAGCTATGTTGCTAGATTTGTTTTTTTTTTTCCCTAATGAAGGTTTAACAAAACTTTAACCGCTTCCATACCGGGCACTTTTACCCCCTTCCTGCCCAGGCCAATTTTCAGGTTTCAGCGTTATCACACTTTGAATGACAATTGCGCGGTCATGCAACATTGTACCCATACTAAAATTTTATCATTTTCTTCAAACAACTAGAGCTTTCTTTTGATGGTATTTAATCACCGCCGGGGTTTTTATTTTTTGCTAAATTAACAAAAAAAGACCGAAAAGTTTGAAAAAAAAAAAAACCCCATGTTTTTCTTTGTTTTTGTTTATAAAAGTTTGCAAATAAATAATTGTTCTTCATAAATTTAGGCCGAGATGTATTCTGCTCCATGTCTTTGGTGAAAATAACCCAAATTAGGATGTATTAATTAGTCTGTAGGAAAGTTATAGAGTTCACAAACTATGGGATAGATCTGAATATTGATCAATCCTGAAGTACTGACAGCCAATCTAATTTCTTGAGATCCAAGAATGTCAGAACAGTACAGATATCCCCAAATGTCAGAACAGTACAGATATCCCCCAAATGTCAGAACAGGAGGACAGATATCCCCCAAATGTCAGAACAGTACAGATATCCCCCAAATGTCAGAACAGTACAGATATCACCCAAATGACCCCTTTTTACAAAGTAGACAATCCAACGTATTTCATAAGAGGCATGGAGAGTTTTTTGAAGTTGTAATATTTTTGTCATAATTTTTCGGAAAATGAAGAAATTAAAAAAAATAATTTTCACTATTTTTTT